TAATATATATAAATTATTATATATTTAAAATAATTAATATATGTTAGGTTATTGTGACATCAGTAGTGACAAAGAACATTCGAATCGCCCGGTAAAATTTGAACATCAGGAATTGCTAGCTCCCCTAGAAAAAAACTTAATGCAATAATCGAAAATAATTAAAAGCTCGGTGTAAAAAAATCCACAATTTGTGCACGTTTACATACCACGAAAATGATTCAAAAGGTAAGGATTCGAAAGGTAATTCCCCACATAATATACAAAGCTATGAATTACAATTTAATAAAGGAAATCTTCCTTTATATAATCTCATCAAATATAAGATATCATAATCTTTAATTTTTGAATATGCAGAGTTTTGAAACTTGATAGAAATTAACTCGAGACTTGGAGAAATTAAAAAAAAAATTCTATCAGATTGGTATTATACATACACGATTATGTTATAAGATTAAGTTAAAAAAATAAATTGAAATAAAAAAATTGATGAAATTTTTAGATACATCTTACAAAATTACCTTAATTTCTTTGCATTAAGTTCACAATTAATTAATCATATATTAATAAAGAAGTAAAATATTAGGTTGGCCGATTAGTTCATACGGATTTTTTGGCCATATTATTTACTTAGAATAAATCACGTGGACTTATTGAACAACCTAATATAATTCATTTTTATAATATAGTTTTTATACTATTTTGGACATAGTGAAAATTAAAAGCGACTTTGTAAAGAATTTCTCGTATTATTACAATATAGTGTCGCTTTATCTATATTTTTGCAATTTATGTCGATGATAAATACATGTACGAGACAGTCTAAAATACGATATATACAATACAAAATTGATAAGACTAGGTAAATTAAAATATTGGATAAACTAGTAGCAGTATTTATAATAAAATAATATAATAATGAATTATTATACTATTATCAATAAAGAAGATCCACACAGATTTTCAAGATTTATGATATTATGCGTTTACATTAACCCTCTACGTTAGTCCAAGTTATTTGTTTGTTCAAATAAAAATTATCTAATGTGAAATTTATAATATATAACTTATATTATTATAATTATGTTATCCTCTAGCATAAGTATAACTTAAACTTAGCAAGTATTAATTTTCGAGATATAAATGGTGATACATTTATAACTATATTAAGATTTACAAAATACGTATAATTAGGTAAGGTAGGTAACTTTAAAGTTACATACGTGACTTTATAGAGGGTTAATGCTTAATATTCTGAACACATAGGTCGTGGAGGTACACGTTTAAAGAATGAATTACAATTCTGTTTAAGTCAAGAATGTACGAGATTAATAAATGGAGTGCGTATACATTTTGAAAGAACACTGTGTTACACAATACCATGTTCTTTTTAGTTTTAATATCCTGGTGGTTGATGTTGATAGGGGTGTTGTGGTGGTTGACTCAAGTGCCGTTGTAAATGCGTAACTAATTGGGGAGTTGGTTGTTGCCCACCAGCAGCACCTTGCTGTTGTTGTTGCTGTTGCTGTTGTGCTTGTTGCTGTTGCTGTGCCTGTTGTTGTTGTTGTTGTTGCAAAGCTAACATTTGTTGTCTCATACGTTGTTGATTTATAGCTTGTTGCTATACAAAAAGATATATTTAAGAAAAGTTTATTTTTATATATAAATTGAAAATTACTTATGTCTCTAAAATCATATATAAATACGTATATAATCTACCTGCTGGAATTGTTGATTTTGTTGTAAACTAACGTTTGTTGTAACTCCAGTTACTCCCACTGCACCTGGTTTGCCAGCTGCTTGTCTGTATGGTGGAGCAGGTTGGTTTTGAAGACCTCCACCCATTGGTCCCATAGCATTCATTGTAACATTTGGTGCCTATGAAGATAAAATTAAATGTAAGAAATCATCGCATACTCGCTGATTCCATTGGTAATTTTAGCCGTACTTACTTGTAAGTAAGGTGGCCTCGTTGCAGCAGGCTGCATTCTTTGTTGTGGCATATATTCTGGACCTCGTTGAGGTCCCATCATTTGCTGTTGATTTGTGAACATCATATTTGGTTGTTGATTCATTATTCCTTGTTGTTGTTGTTGCTGTTGTAATAATTGCTGTTGCTGTTGCGTCTGTTGAGGGTTTTGTTGTTGCTGTTGTTGTTGTTGCTGTTGTGGTATCATCTGTTGTCCGCCATATCCTGCATAATTCTGATTCATTCCTGTGAATAATCATATGCATTAAAAATTAAAGACATTTCCATACTTTCGTAACTTATAATTTTTTTAATCGATAATATTTCACCTTGCTGCATTCCGGCATACATTCCTTGCTGTTGCTGTTGTTGTTGCTGTTGTTGCGGTGCAAACATATTCTGCTGTGGATTGATACCCGGCGCACCGTGTTGTGCTCTTAATTGCTGTCTAATAAACTGTTGCCTTTGCATACCCTGGAAAGCACTTGGACCAGCTACTGGCGGGGGATTAGGTTGTTGTTGAGTACCCATAAATTGATTTGGTAATCGTAAACGTAACATATTAGATAATGCTTGTTTGGACTGATTATTCATTCCGGGTCTTTCATAACGAGGTCCCCCGACTGGTGTTGGTGGCAATTGTTGTCCATATCCATATTGCTGTGCTGGCGTATGATTTTGTTGATTTGCATACCATTGTTGTTGAGGCTGTGGTGGTTGCCCAGTAAACATTCCAGATTGCTGAGCAACAGCTGCTTGTTGATTGTTGAAAGCCATTTGTTGCAATTGAGATGGTGGTTGCTACAAAATCATTTATAATATAAGTTTCAAAATATATTATAAATGCCTAAAATAATTGTTACAATGATTACACTTACTTGTATTTGTTGTGACACAGGAGCTGTAGGCGTTGCAGCACCTTTGTTTCTTCTGTGTCGTCTAGCTTTCATAGCTTTACCTTTTCCATTAGTCGCAGTATTACCTACTCCACTACTACCCACACTGCCACCAACTCTTCCTGGAGAGTCAATGCTCATTGGGGTATCAGCTTTACCTGGTTCAGATTCTTTTTTGTCTGGTTCCAGATCTTCTGGCGGCAATGGTGGCGGTTCCAAATAATAATTAGGTGGTCTAAGCTGACTGTGTGTATGATACCTTAATAATTTGTGCGCATTTTGATAAGTAAGCGGTTTACGTTCTAGTCTAACTGCTCTGAACCATGCCCAAGATAAAGGTGCTGGATTCTTATGGCCTTCTAATAATTCCCATGCAGAAACTCTTTGCGAATCACATACTTGTAAGCCCTGCTCATACGTATTTGTCATTAAAGTAAATAATTTTAAAAATAAGGCAGATATTCATTTTATTATATGTAAGTGACTTCATCTTACCTGCTTTTTATCAATACTATCAAAACCAGCGATTTTATTTCCCTTAGTATCCGTCAAACAACCAACTGGTTCACAAGTAATAACTTCCATCGTTAATTTTGGCAGCGGTAATAATTGTCTAACGAATCGAATACTCGAGGAATTTCTATCACCAAGTTCTTTTTTTAATTTTTTCATTAAATTTTGATAATGCTTTTTATTTTCGTCTTTTTCAGACTGTGAGTCTGAGACTAAAGTGGAATGTATTAATGTTGCTAACATGTCTATAACAGTTGTAAATAGTTCTGAGTTATTGTTTAGATCGATTACCCCATAGCTGACTAACTGAACAAGCAAAATAGCCCAATCAGTTGTAGCAGTTGTATTTCGTTGTATTGTATCAAAAACACCACCAACTAAGCTAAATCTTAATTGAAGAGCATCTTGTAATACTTCTCTTGCTTTGGGATCTTCGGAACCTATATTCTTCTCTTCTTTGCTTGTATTAAGAAATTGAGACAATTGTGAATGTAATGATGTCAATAAACCTTCTCTTTGGTCGTCTTGTCCTTTCAGACATGTCAATACCAACGATAAGAATGGCTGATGATTAAAAAGTGATGGCGATTTGGATCTACCTCGTTCACGACCAGCTGTTTTTGACCAATTACCAGATTCTAATACTTGGCCTGCAACTTTAAGAACTCTTCCTTGTACAGCACTTGGTAGTTTAGAAACAAGAGGAGCCACTAGCCATATAGAACCTGATCTTCTATCAGTTTTACTCGATAAAGAATTTAATTGGAATACATCGATAGCAGCTTTTGCAACAGTATCTAGCCATTGAGAAAGATCGACAGAGCCAGGTGGGAATTGTTTATACATTAATTGTAGATCAAGCCAAGACATCCTAAGACTCCATTGTTCTAAGTTTTCCAGAATACTTGTAATATGCGTTTTTTGATCGATGAAAGCTTCAGTTGGTGTTTCAGGATAACATATCATATGTAATAATCTTTGTGCTTGGCGTGGAGTTAACATACTATCTAATAACATGTCAGGATGACAAAGTTCTTCAGGATTTTGTAAACACCTTTCCAAGACCCATTCTTGACTACAAATTTGACGTAAAACATGCTGAGCGAAGTCCGAAAGACCTTTTACATTTTCGGAAGTCATACCAGCACTACTACTAGAGGAAGACATTGCAAGATCAAGTCCAAGATCATCACCACCTCCTAAAATATCACTGGTTCCTAAAATATGACTAATTGATAATTCTCCAGGTCCACCACTACTAACACCAATACCAACGCCAACACTACCAGGTCCACCTCCTTTGCTTGAATGAGTCATAGACACATCTGGTTTTTTAGGTGGCTGTTTTCCGGCAGTTGCATCAGCTACTACAAGGATAGCTTTCAATACCGCTAATACTGGACCCACTCTTATATTGTTATGTGCTGCAGCCAAAAGATGTCTATCGCAACTTAATTTTATGCTGTATCCTCGTGAATTTCCATTTGGTAAAGGATGAGGACTTGTACCAACAGAATACAAGGCTGGCTGAGGACATTCGACTGTTTTAAAAAGTCGCAATAATAAGTGGCATGTTAAACGAGCTCCGGCTTCAGCTTCCATATCTGCATCTCCACGACCTTCATTGCAGGCCTTAACTAACGATGGCAATGCTATATGTACAACAAAGTCTTCCAATGAGAAGCAGTGTCGAGCTATAAGAATGATAAAATAAATTAATACAAAATGTTCGAAATATTTAATGTAATGTATTATAAAAAATGATATACTATATATTCGATTAATTTATTATTGTATAAACTTACCAATTAAAATTGATGTAAATACTGCAAGAGAATTATGTATACTTAAATCTTGGACATCAACTTGATTTAATACATCAATGTAAAATGCAGAACTGTTAGAGGAACAGCAAAGTGCCATGAGGACTCCCAACCATTCTGCATTTAATGCATTACAGCAAGCTGTTAACTCAGCACAAGTTATAGCAATATCATTTAATTTGTCATTATCTGTTTCACTACAAACTGCAACTATAGCATTGCATACAAAACTATAACGATTTGCTGGCGTTTCATTTAATTGTCTGGCCCATTGCGGTTCAATTTTTCCACCTCTTCTAGGACTAGTAAACACATCAACCATGAATTGTGAATTATATACATGACTTGAGGGTGTCGGTTGCAATGCACTATAAAGAGCAGTACGAATTTTTGGATACGCATTACTAAACGCTTCCACGCCATGTGGTTTAGTTTTTAACAACGAGCACGTGGAATACAAATCATAGAGATGAGCCAATACACAACGTTCTGCTGAGCTACAATCACTTGGATTTGCGACATGTTTTACAACCTTACATAGCAAATCAAATACAACTGTTGTTTGTTCCGGTGATACTAAAAACCAAATCAATTAAATATTAAATCATCTTATTAACATTGTCAACATTGGTATTGTTTAACAAATAAATCACGTCACTCACGTAACAAGCAGCAATGGTATCTTCTTAATACTCCTACAACATATAGACTTAAACTGGTAGTGTAACTTCTAACAAGTTGACTATTTCTCACTGTAAATTGAGCTTCAACTTCTGGCAATTCTTTAAGTATTTGAATACAGACATCTATCAGACCATAAATATTTAAAGCCAATTCCATTAAATCAAATAGAAAGGCTACGTGTTCTTGCACTGGCAAATAAGACGATCCAGCCAATGCAAATGTATTAAGCATTTCAATAACTTGTGTTGCGCATTGCCACGTTACCACATGCTGATCAAAATAACTTAAGTTTTGAAATTTCATTGTTATAGCCTCGAAATTAAATTCACTGCGCGAGTGCTTTTTCACTTTTCCACCTTCCGCAACGTCAATGCTAAATTTTTTACCAAATAATTTACATACTTCTTTTGTCATTTTTTTAACAACATGTCTAGCTTCGTCTCGTACACGACCTACTCCATACAACAGTACATGACGTTGATTGCAATCGTGCTGACTACATGTCTCGTCCTAAAAAATATACATACGGTTATACGAAGCTTTTGACATTAATAAAACAATATTTTGAATATTAATTAATCACCTGTGGTAAAGGAAAATGTGTTGTATATAATAAATGACGGCTATGACTTGATTGAATTTTGGAGTCAATACCCTCATGACCTGTATGTCCAGCCAAAGCATCTTCTTTTGGACTATCTGGTGCATCCATACTATTTTGTTGGTCTTCTTTAATATGTTGCAATAACTTGTCTAAGTCATCATCTATTTTACTATCATCATAATCCATAGCTCTATTATGATCTGGTACCTCCAATTTAGTTGGTTTTAATTCTATTCCTGAGAAGAGACTTTCCTCATCAATTTCTCTATTACTAGGTGTTCCAGGCTTACTTGCTGCTGGACCTGAACGAAATATTTCGCTTAACAAACTTAAATAAAATTTATTCTTCGTACTAGTATAGAAAAAAAAGATGCAGACAAACATTAGCAAAGACTTATTAATTTAACTACCTTGTATAAGATCTCCTCTTGAAATCAATGTACACATATAGGCATCGTGTGAAAAAACGTCGTGTCTTATTAGTTCTGAGAATAAATGAACTAAATTTGTAAATTGCGTTTTAGATTGTGATGTTGAGTTATCTAAAACAGGAGCATCTGTATCTAAAAATTTCATTAACAGTGGCTGAAAAATTGGAAGTACAGGTGGATTTCCATTACTCCAAACACTATCTTTGTCATCATTGTCATTTGTTTCTCCAGTGGCTTCACTCTGTCTTTTTTCTAGCAATTTAGCAACGGCCATTGCTCTGTGTTCTCCCCATCTTTCTGCACTTACTGCCCATTCGCAAAGAATTTCAACTACAGCAGAATCCTGTTGTGGATTATATTCTGTTTTTGTATCACGTTCATTATTATTATCTTTTGGAGAAGGAGCAAAAATTTTGGCATACAATGTATCTAACGAATTAGCTGCATCCATTCGGTCAAAACTATGTCTATCTAAAGCATCTAATGCTGCTAATACTTTAGTAGTTGTCATTCCTGCACTACTTTGTTGCCATTTATCGCACGACCATCGTCCCTCAGCAGATTGCGATCGAATTCTTATATTTTCTTGTCCAATCTTCAATTGTTTCCTTGTAGGATCAGTAGCACTTGTAGGTGGAGTTGGTAAAGCGGCAGGAGGACATGGCAAATAATCTAATGGAGAACCGTTTAAGACTGTTGGAGCTTTCCCTTCTCCAACGCTATTCCATACTAATGCTGTTGGACATTCTAAAGTGATAACCTAAGGAGAAAAAATAAATCTATTATAAACAATATTTCAATGGTGAATTCAGTAAATGAAATATTTATCTTGCCTGTATGATCGTAGATAAACTATATAACACATCTCTATGGTGTGGACAAACTAAATATTCATTAAAAGCTGCGGTTAGTGGATTTGGTGGACCTTGATTTGTAACAGCTGTATCTTTTCCATTATTAACTTCAGTTTTAACAATGGATGGACTTTGCGGATTGCTATTCACTTCAACATTGTTACACATGTATGCCAATTTGCGACAACACAAATATGCTAAACGCCTAGCTAATAATTCAGACTGTATAAATTCTTCTAAATATTGTAAAGCTAATGGCAATAAAAGTTTTAAGATGCCATCCTCTGATGGCGATGATCTAATTTTATCTAATAATTCTAATATCCATTGGAGTAACTCTTGTCTATCCAACAAACCCTCTTCAAACATGTACTTGGCTAACTGAATACAATATTGCCATTGTTTCATTGCTAATTTATGTTCATCATTCATAACTGCAGTAACTATTGATTGAACATTTGAATTTGGTGTAGCTGGTTGAGTATTTATAGATCCATTAGTACTACCAGTTGTATTATTGTTAACAGTGTTATTGTTACTTCCATTAGCACTTGGTGTAGTACTGCCATTGCATGAATTATTTGTACTTGTACTAGTACTATTTGCATTACTATTTGTGGTATTAGTTACTTGAATACCTATATGATAATATTCTTGCAATTTCGACAGCTGATCTTTTAGAAATTTTATCAAAGTTCCTGTCCATTCTAAAAGAAAGAAAAAACAATACAGTTTAAAATAAAATATAATTTTAGTTGTTTGATTTAAAATATATTTACCTGTAGTAGGATCAGGTAATTGTCGTTTTTTAATCTTAGCTTCTGAAACTGCAACAGTATACGCTGAACTCAATTTGATAAACCATGCAGCTCTTAACATAGGTACTTGATATTCGCATAACATCATAAATATTTCTTCTTTTTTATTAAAATTAGGTGCTTTTTTTGCAAGAGTCACTAAAGGTTTACACCCTGACAAGTCTTTGAACCATGCTTCTATACCATTTTTTGTTCTAGCAGTTACTGGCCAAAAGTTATCTTTAGGATTAATTTGTTGCCTTTTTCTTCCAGTATCAGGCATAGTTGCAAGTTCTTCTTTTTTACTAAGTATAGCATTGAAATATGCCCCTACTTTGGCAGCAGTAACATTACAATGTCTTGCAGTACCGAATTCATCGGATAATTGGGGCATTGTAGCAAATCCATGCTTGACATTAACAGACGTAAGCTCATCTTCCTTTTGTTTAGGTTCTTGAGGATAAACGTCAGGTGGTCCCAGTCTTGGCTTCTTCAGTGGCCGTTTCTCATACAATATTCCCATCATGGTACAAGATAATAATCAAATTGTATAATTGATTATCAACATCGCCAATAAAAACGTCAAAAAAGCGTATTAAAAGTTTGACACTTATTTGTAATATTGCACCAAGCTTAATAGTTCCTTTTCCATCATCATGTGTTTATAATTATACAATACAATACTAACAATCATAACAGAACGAAAAGGACCGTAGGATCGGTCACCGCGAGATTATTAATACGAGATTTAATAAATATTTGCGCATAATTGACACCGTAACTTTCAGATGGCAAGTAGTTAAAACCTTACGTCAAAATTGTAACGACAGACGCCATTGTATTAAGAGTAAATTCTCATATAGAAGTTTTTACCGACGTCACGGTAATCTAGAAAATAATTCGAAGAGTTCTAGAATGATATAACGGCCGCTTTCGATGATATTTTTAAAATCAAGCGATACCGAGGCATTTTGTTTATCATTTTCATAAACGACACGAACGCATATTCCGGGAAACGTTTACAAAATCGTCTGCTAAAATTCATGAATCACAGAAGGCTAACCTAGAGATGAAATATCGCGAAGTTTGTAAATCGACTAATCGATCATCGTTGTAAATCATTAATTAAATTCCAAAATAAGACTTTCCTATTGGTCGACTTTGCGCGCGAAATATGTATTACGATATCTCGCGCGTCAAGTTGACGCAGTATGTTGCAAAGTTCAATTTCATTCAATGTTATGTCAAGTGTTACAAACAACACGAAATTAAAAGTTCGTTCTATTCTAAATCTTTTTGTATAGGTTGCTCGTGTGTCTTATTATTATATATTTCTTGATGGGATTATAATATAAAATATAATCTGTAATAACGGAATGCTAAATCATTTAAAACATGACAACCAGGACATTTATGCGCCTGGCTGATGCAACGAACAGATGGTACAATGATTTTCTTTTTCTTAGGTTATATATTATTTTTTATATTATGTGTATTGTTAATCAATTTTTTAATTTTTAATACAGTTTATTCATGTTACCGTCTCATACCAGTAGATTACACGTACCAAATGCGTACAAAAATGTAAGAGGTTTTAAACGATTAAAAGATTCTACTAAACAACCTGAGAGTCCTTTTACCAGTCTTGAAAGTGAAAATGGACCTGTTCATTTTTCCAAGTTGTTAAAGCCATTTGCTTTTACTATTACGGTATTTGCAATAGTGCAATTTATTTTCATTTAATAACCAAATATTAAATATTTATTCTTTATAATAGTACATTATATTCTGTTTATCAGTTCACAGGAACAACACTAATTGCTACAGCAATTTGGGAATATGAAAGAATTAGAAAGCAAACGTATAAAATAACGAATTATTTTAGACAATATTATAATATTGTATGTATTTCTTATTAAATGTAAGTTATTATTATTATTATTATTGCTTGTACTTACAAAGCTTTTATATATTTATTTAGAAAACAGGATGGCGCAAAGAAATGGAAACATGGTGGAAAAGTTTGACAGATGGACAAAGAATGTTTGCGCCTATATGTTTTTTGAATGTTCTTGTATTTCTCGCATGGAGAGTACCTGCATTTCAAAGTACAATGTTACGATATTTCTGTGCTAATCCTGCTTCTAGTGAGTAATTAAGCAAGGTATATATTATTTTATAATGATTTATATATCGGGTAAAATAATTCATTGTTTTTTTTCATTCATTCAAGATGTAACATGTTGGCCCATGATACTATCAGCATTTTCTCATTATTCTTTGTTACACTTGGCTGCAAACATGTATGTATTGCATAGTTTCAGTACAGGAATTGTTGCTGCTTTAGGCAAAGAACAATTTTTGGCACTTTATTTGAGCAGTGGTGTAATCTCCAATTTTGCTAGTCATTTTTATAAAGTTGCATTTGGTTTACCTGGTCTATCTCTTGGAGCTGTGAGTTATATATTTTCCCATATATATATATATATATATATATACATATAATATTATATAATTAATTTCACTTATATATTATTAGTCAGGTGCAATCATGGGTATTCTTGGATTTGTCTGTACAGAGTATCCAGATACTCGTCTAGCTATATTTTTTCTTCCTATGTTCACCTTTACTGCAAGCATGGTAAATTAATATTTATATTGTATTCATAAAATAATGATTCTTATAAGATTTTCTAACTTATTTCTTTTTTTATATTTTATTATAAAATATATTCTTTTGATTTTAGGCAATTAAAGTAACAATGACTTTAGACTTTACAGGCTGCGTGTTAGGATGGAAATATTTTGATCATGCTGCACATTTAGGAGGTGCACTGTTCGGAATGCAAGTTTTATTTTACCTCATATTCATTGTGCGCATGATGGAAATGTTTAATAATTATTTAATTTATATTTTTGTCTTTCTATTGTGTAGATTTTGGCAAGCTTGGGGTAATGCTAACATTTGGCGAAAACGGGAGCCAGTATTAATGTTTTGGCATGAATTACGAAATCCACGCAAATCGCAATAAATACTAACTTTTACAAAGTGATAATGTGATTATCATATAAAAAATGTAAGATACTATATTGAGATCAGATAAAGAAATTTAATATAATTTAAGAGATACCATTTCAGGGAGAACACAAAATTTATAAGTATCAACACGTTTAATATATTTTTATTATTAACAATTCTTATGTGTATCATGAGAAAACTGTTAAAAAATGGAAACAACGAGGTAAGAAGTAATAGATGTAACTTATCTGTAGCTTTGTTTAAATGAAAAAAAAAAATCGTACATCGATATTATTTTGCTATTTATTTTATGTTTAATATTAGATTATTGAAATTTAATTATTAGTAAAGCTCGCGTGATATAAATTTTAACAAAAAAAATATTTTTAATTTTTTAAATATTTCATGTGGTGTTTAATATGGTCTTCGACAAATGTAGCTATAAAGTAATAACTATGATCGTAAGCTTCCTGAAATCTTAAAACCAAAGATAATCCAACATCTTTTGCAACATTCAATAAGTTTTCAGGCAATAATTGACCCTGTTTTAAGAAGTTATCTTCTTTTCCCTGAAATATATAATATATATTTTAAATGTTTAATTCCTTCACTTATACGTCACTAGATTTGTTAGATTTGACTTAGGTAAACCTGATCTATTAAAATATCCAAAGGAGGGCCATTGTATTTTTTAGCTAATTCTGTAGCATCCCAGTCATTCCACGAGACATTGTTTTCTGTTTCTCCAAAATAGCCAGAGAATGCCTTTTTACCCCATGGACACTGAATTGGATTACTAATAGGGGCAAACGCAGAGACCGATTTGTACATACCTGGATTTTTAAATGCACAGATCAGTGCTCCATGACCTCCCATGCTATAGAAATGATTAATTTTTAAAATATTTATAACATCATGTAGGAATAAGAATAATGTTTCTATTAGTTTCATACCTGTGACCCATTATAGACTGTTTATCCGAAAGAATAGGAAATTTGTCATTAATCAACGATGGCAATTCTTTAGTAACATAACTATACATCCTATAATTTTTTTTCCATGGATCTTTAGTCGCATCTACATAAAATCCTGCTCCAACTCCAAAGTCATAACTGTCAGAATCACCAGGAATATTTAATCCGCGAGGACTAGTATCAGGTGCCACTAAAGCTACACCACACTCCGAAGCATATTTTTGAGCGCCAGCTTTTTGTATAAAATTTGCCTCTGTACATGTTAATCCTGATAAATAATAGATAACTGGGACAGAGACTTCTTCTGCTTGTGGTGGAAGGAAGATGGCAAAATTCATTTTACAGCCTAGGACGGAACTACGAAATATTAAGAAAAAATAAAATAAATTCTCTTTTCAGATAGTCTGTCACTTAACCTCACATTTTTATATTTCCATTTATAATACCTTTCGTGCGAATAAACTTTTTGCCATCCTCCAAATATTTTATTGCTAGATACTTCTGTTAGTTCCGTCATTATAAAACAGGATTGTTGCACTTTCTAATATATGATAAAAATTAAATCAGTGAAACACAAATTCTTTTTAGATTATTACTATACTGCAATTGTGTACAAAGGTTAGATAAGAATGCAATCACGCGTTTAAAAATAAAATGTTATATTTACAATTATTATTAAATATTATTACAGTATAATCTATTGCCGTGGAATCGTCTTTTTTTTAGATCGATTCGCACGCAAAGTACTTCCACGTTTGCTTTTTCTGTCCATTTTACTTTAAAAAATTCATACTAACACTAAAAATATTTTTAATTTAAATTGCACGTGCATCGAAGTTGTTTGAAGGTTAGAATTAAAGTGGCAGAACCTGGCTTCAACTGAACATTAAATATGAAAGATTACTTGAAAGTATATTAGGGTGACTTTCGGTTATTGTATTTTAATATATATATATATTTAGAGTACGAAAGGTTTTACGAGGGAACACGACCGCAGGTAGATGGAGTTTCCTTATTGTTTATTATTCGATTCGGTCCGACCAAACCGATTTAGATGCCACATCACTAAAATAGCTATATCTTCGAAAATAATTTTAATTTTAAAAAATACTCTTAAGGACATATTCTTAAAAGTTTAAGCTTTGAAAATATTTTCAATTGTACAATACAAAATATATCAACATAATTAAACAGATTAAAATTGCATACGTGTATTTATGATTTTTTGTACAATTTTCTAAATCTATCTTTTCTTGAACTTTTTTAGTTCACTTTGTTGTTTCGCAGCATCGCCAAATATTTCTTTAACTTTACGTTTACGTTCATTATCGCTCTTGATCTGTTGTTTAATTTGTAATTTGGATAAGAATGCTCTATCCCTTCTTATTTCACGTATTGCACCCTTCGTTTCTTTTTTAAATTTATGGAGTAATTTTTCCCTTTCTGCTTTTGCTTTAGACATAGGCTTATGCTTTTTACCATCGTATCTGTAAACAATGCAAAAGAAACTAGTAATAAATATGGCATCTAATTATTATTTAATTAAAAATTAAATAGACAAAATAATACACGTACACTTTTTCAATACGAGGTTCATATTGTCTTAATGGTTTTGGCCTTTTCTTCTCACGGATGATATATTCAAGTTTTTTACTCTTTAAATTAACTATTTCTTCACATAGTTGTTTGATATTCTTCTTTAAACTTGAAGGATATCCGTTGCATGTGTTTTCTTTTAATAGCTTCATTATTGGTTCGAATATAGGATATACAGAATCTAATTCTTGAAGTTGATTTTTAAATTCAGTAATTAAATTTACTGCAGTAAATAAAGCTCTTATTTTGAAATCATTATCTATATCTTCATTTACTAAATCACTTGCTTTCATAATTGCTATATTTAAATCCATTTCTACATCTGTTTCTTCCTGATCAATTATTAATAAATTACTTAAATAACCAGTTTGTTTAAAGGGAGGAATCACCTTAATTCCTTGAATCAAATTTTTAGGTGTAGCCATAAATATTATCCCACGTAGAAAATTGATCACAGATGGAGCAAATCGTTTACTCAATACCGTGTACTAAAAAAAATTAATTTTTCATTATACAGTAACAATACAGTACAAATATTACATAATTAATTATATAAAACAAATAATAAATTTAATGATTATTATGTACCTCCAATATAAGAGTACATATGAAGAGACCCCTCGATATATCTCTTCCATTTTTAATACGACATGTCATTAATATTTGTGACATAAATATAAAGCAAGGAGTAACAATTACGTGTCTAAAATCAGATGTTGAAAATAATAGCGATACCAGTTTGAAAATAATAAGCTGAAAAAGAAATAATTTTTTTGTTTGAATAATGAAATATTTAATTTCTCTCCTAATTAAATATTTGGTATACTTACTGTATCTATATTAGGATACTGTTTTTTATTACTTTGAAATTCTTCATATTTCTTTTTAATTATTTCAACTATACAATTTTTAGCATTTTCAGGATTTGCATGTGCTAAATCATACAGATAAGGACACAATCTGAGAAATAAATAAGATAATAAATTATTTTTATGTTTAATTAATATTCTTAATGGAATAAAATATTTATTGTGTATATATATATATATATGTTTTACCTATCAAAAATTTGAAAAGAGTTTACAATGTTTTCAACATTACTATCTTCTATACTACTAACAAGAAGATGTTCTATTAAAAAAATAAATAATTTAGATAATTTCTCTTTGTTCTGATTATCTAGGGACCAATGATTACATTTTATTATACGATCCACAATAACCGATTGATAATCGGGATTTTGATTTTGTAATAACTTTTGTAATTCTGTGAAATCTTCTGGTGCTTTATAAGTATAAGGCAATTCCTTTCTAGCTTTTTCCATTACTTCTTTCCTTTTTAAAAGATCATTTCTAATTTCTTGCTTTCTATCTTCACTGACAATTTTATCGTTAACTGTTTCCTTATTTGATTTTAAGATAGACTTTAATTTGTCATTTTTAGAATTAGTTGATTTTTCAGTAATTGTATTTCCAAATTTAACAGTTTTTTTAGCAATTATTTCCTCCTCATTTTCACTAGAGGAATCAAATTGTTTTAAATCTGATAAATCATCTTCTGAAGAGTCTTCATCATCTGTGTTATTCGAATTTTGTGTTTCGCATTCATCACTTTCTTCGTGTTCATCATTTTGAATTTTTGATTTGAGATTAATTTTATTTTCTACAGTCTTATTTTTTATAATTTTATCATTCACAAGAGACTCATTCGTTTCTTGTATTTCACTTTCTGCTTCATTTGCGTCTTCATCTAATTCAGAATCATTACTATCATTAGAGCTTTGACTAGCATCATCAATAAGTGTATTGTCGTCATTATTAATTTTGTTACTTTGAGCTTCTTCTGATATTTTTTCTACCAAAAATCCATCATCAAGATCATCAGCTGATTTATGCCTTGATTGTGTATTTGAATCAGTTATAAATCCTTTCATTCTTGCTAAACGATCAGCTTCGAGTGCTTCTAGTTTCTCCTTTTCTTCTTTAATAATTTCTTCCTCAGATTTTAATCTATCAGTAGGATTACCTCTGGCTTCAAATTTTAACTCACGTACAGCCATGTCATAATCATCGACTCTTACTTTTTCAGGAGGATCTTGGTTAGATGTTTTACTCGTTGACATTAACGGAAGGAGATCTTTCCATTCAGTATCAAGTTTTTCTGTTAAGTCCAAAGTTTGTTCTCGTATCTTTTGCTTTTCTGCTTTACGTTTTTTAGAGTCAGCAATAAGTTGTTCGATGATATCTTTTCTAGACATAGTTGAGTCTGATTTAGTTAACATGCCACCTCCAAAGTGAGCTTCGCTGACAAATTTTTTATCCAATTTCCCATCCTTATTTTCATCATCGCTAAATTCATCATCGCTTTTAGGATCATCAAATTTTTCGATCTCTTCAAGGGTTTGACCTCTATGAGTTAATACTTCTTCATCATTTAAACTAAAAATATTTTTCTTTTTATGCGCCTTCATACGTTCAGCTGTAAATCTTGCCATAGCTTTTTCCTCCGGTTTCAGGCGATAATTTTTTTCACCTATGCGTTTGTCTAAGAATACATTGTCTTTATTTTTCAATTTATACTCTTGAAAGAGCGTACCCTTACGTTTGCTAATAGCTTTGGCACGTGATATACCAGGCAAACCTCTGTCAGCTTTACTCTTTCGTCCTAAAACGTTCTGTTTGTCTTTATTTATATGTATTTCAAAAGGATTTAAATTTTTCTTTTTTTGTTGAATATGTTTTGATTGTACAAATTCAGACAAATTCTTCTTCTTTCCTTTCACCATTTTCAATATAGTAATGATATATGATTTAAACAAATATAATACTTTACGAACATTAATTTTTTAATTAACTTATAAATATATAAACAGAAGTGTGTTTAATAACCTATATATTACGATAAAGATTCTTCGACAATAACCCACGTGCTTCATTTAATCTGCGTATTGTTAGTCATTGCTGCCACTACATCTTACCAAAAATATCAACCAATTCTGTTCTAGTAATTTTTAAAGGCAACTTTTTATTACTGCATTCCCTGTTGCATTTGTAGTTCATATTTTGTCACTAGTTATCGCTGAATTCAGACATGCTTTTAACGATAGATTGAGAACAGCTGTAAGGTCTGAAAACTTGCAGCATTAATTTATTATGAATAGTTTCAAGCCAGTAATTGAAAATAAAAAACATCTATGTTTCTAAAATCTAAAATTATAATTTTATTTTAGAATGTGAAAACATTCTTATATGAAGATATTTAAATACATATAATAAAATGGCCTTATATGATAACCAACATTGGCTTTTATCACACATTAGAGATAGTTTTTTATCTACAGATGACACAGGTATATTTTAATATTATTGTATTGAAAATGCCTAAATATTATTTCCTACAATTTATGCTTCCTTGCTATAGATGTGTCATAACTTAATATTACTTATTTGTATTATTATTAATATACACATATTTTCTAAATATAAACAGTTTTTATTGAATAATATTTTTACTTTTTTCTTTTTAAAAAGGTATGTGCGAGATGGTTATGCTAGGAGAAGATATACCAAAAGAAATGAAATCAAATGGAACGTTACAATGTTATCCTGGAATGGAAGAAAGCGACGATGAAGATTTAGATGCATTAGCTGAGTCATATGACATACAAATGGGTATAATATATGTTTCTTAATTAATAGATAATCTTATGCATATATTAATACAATTATTACATGTGAAACTTTTAAATTATTGTTATAGATATGGAACTTAGTCATAGACAGCGTTCTAATACTGCTCAAAGATTAGAAAAAATGGACTTGGAGAGAAAGAAAGCAGCTAAAATTAAACATGTAAAATGGGAACATAAACCTAATCTTCTTTCACTAGCAGAACAATCAAAATTATTTCAGAGAAAGGACTTCCGTAAAAAAAATACAACTACTAACAAAAGACATTCTTTTTTATCGGAACAAATAGGAAAGTGTCCCAATTTACCTCAAAATCCTTTTACGGATTTTGCTAAATTCGATGGCAATGTATGAAATATCTGTTATCATTATATTATTAATTATGTAATATAAATTATACATTTGAAATTGTTTCAGGCACAAGTTGGGATTGCTATTAGAAAATATAGAATCTTTATGTGTATGTTACCTAAGGAAGAAAGGACTTATCCTTTACAAATTGTAGTTGTTGCAACAGCTAAAGTATTAGAATTTATTGGGCTTATATGTTATAAATATGCAAGCGAACATCCTAATCATAATTTAAAGTATGGAAGTTATAGAATATCTTAGAAGTTTATATATTTATTTGCAAGCATTGCAATTTGTCTCATTTTTTCTAATCGATAGGGAAGATATTACAAAATATGGTTTATATATTACTGAAGATGACGGCGAGGTAGATTGGGACTTTCCTTGCTTAGATCCAGGAGAAGTAATATCTAAGTTTGAATTCACTACATTAGGTCTTGTTGAAATGAAACCAAGCGATAGAGCACGACATAATACGATAAGACATATTGAAACAGAAGTAAATGAAGAATTAGAAGGGAAAGATAAAGAACAAGAAGAAGTAGCGAAAGATTTAGCCAAAATGGAAGGTCATACAACAGCAATGGAAGCTCCATTATATCAATCATATAGGTGCATTCCTATTATCATATGATAGTTGAAGAATATCTAAATGACAAACATATTACATATTACGTTTATTAACAGAGTATACATAATTAATAAAGTGAGAGCAAAGACTGAAATACTCCTTGGAATATCGGGTGAAAAAATAGAAATTGATCCAGTGATAACAGGAAAGGGTGCCAGTAGATTTTGGAACAGACAACGTGCTGTTAGTTATCATATAGATAACATTGCATGGTGCGAAATAACTGAAAACAAAGGATCAAAAACGATATTCACATTGGTTTATACTCCACATTCTTCTACTTTAGATAGTTTAAGTGGTATATATATATTTAATCTCAATATTTGTAATATTACAAAATAATATATCTATATATATTTTATTATTAATTTTTTACAGCATCATCCAGTCAAACGCATTCTCTTCATCAATCCGCATCATTTAAAAATCATGATTTTGAAGCATATTCAGGGACAGCAGAAGAAATAGTAAAAAAGATAAATCATATTTTAGAATTACGTAGTAGTACATCGAGAAAAGAATACTTGGCCCAAAAAGAAAGAAAAGCGGCCAGAAGAAAAAGTTTTCATTTGCATAGATGACAGCTTTATTGGTTGTTTTGTTCGATTTTACATTATCTGAAATATTAAGAAATATAGCACGCTATACGATATAAAATGTAAAAAATTTGGATAACATAAAAGTTACAATTTCGTTCGTCATAACAATAACATTTAGAAAAGCTTTCTACCAAAGATATTATTTGTATTATTTTAAAAATATTCGAAAGTTATTATTCATTAGTATAAATAATTTGTTTTTTAATATATTATATCTAAAAAGTGTATGCTGATATATTGTGCAGAACGCTATAAATCATAATGCGTATGCAAAGTCATACTTTTAACAGTATTAAAGTACGATGGAATAGTATATTGATACAAAAAAAGTAATTTTAAATAATATGCTCTACCTAAATTATACTATTGTAAAGCAATGTAAAATATGATTATATATAAAATGTTTTATCCTATTTATAAACAAATATTACTATTTAAACAAGTGAGACTCTCATAATATTTGGATTAAAATTTAGATATTTCAATTATTTTCTTTGTTATCTTATCCAACTTCTCTTGCATCCTTATTATAAATTTATCGTTTAATTTAAACATTAATTCATTTAATAGAATCACTTTTAGAGATCTGTTAGATAGTTTCTGACTATTCTCATAAATATAATCGTAATTAGGCTTAGCTAATAGAAAAGATCTCTCAGAATCAGATAACGCTTTATAATCTAAATTTTGTCCTAGATTTTCTAAAGCAGATTTTTGTTTAGTAAGAATGCGTCTTTTCGATTTACGTTCTTTTAACTTTAATTGCCATAATTTTCTTTCTTGTTTAAGGTCATTTATATATTCTTGCAAGTTAAAACTTTCTTTCCCTGTTATATCTTTCACACGTTGGCGTTTACATTTGTTGTCTGATAATAAATCATCATTTTCAAGATTTCGTACTTCATTTAATTCTAAAAAAAAAAAGTATTAAAGCTTTTAAGAAATGTATTATCTATTAGCCTATATTTACTATTAGTATTTTAAGGTTAACTAACCTTCATCTATGAATAATTTTGAAGTTCGTGAATGAAAAACCAACGATCTTCTTTTACATGTAACTTTGTCGGAAATTTCTTCCGTATCTAAATCTAATGCATCTGGTAGAACAGAATTATCCATTGTATTTAATAATTAAACAATTCTATTTTTTTGTGTGATAAACCGAACTATTATTATATTTCAAACTAACCAATCACAAGCAGTTAATTCAAACCAATCGAAGCTAGTGCATTTTATTTTTAAATAGTATATAACGATAAATGAAAATAATAATTTTTATAAAAATTACAATTCATATATTATAATATTTATTAATTGAATACAATATATATATATAAATTTGATTTTATAAACAATACAACTATCTATTATCAAAGTTGCTTTAATTATTTCCATGAAAATATGAAAGAAAAAATTATTAACTAGAATGCTGATCAATTATGCAAAATTTAATAATGTTTACAAACGTAAATTAAATAATTAACAATCATTTATTATTATTATCATTATCATTATTATTATTATTATTACTATTATTTATATATATATTTATATATATATACAGATTTGCGTTAAATCATACGATTAGGCATTGGGAAAATATATTCATAGAGATTTTTATTCTAGAGAAATCTCGAAGTTTCTATCATGATACATGTATATACTAGCTTAGACACCATGCGAGTGTAAACGATTACCGTCAAGTCGAACGAATCTAAACGTGTTGTATTCCGTATTCTGTTAATTTACGGGAAAAAAAAAAAACGCTTTACGAAGATTTTGCATTAAAAAATTGTGAACAGGCTCTATTTATTATCATATATAATTTATCGTTAGATCAAATTAAAAAAGAATTTTTACAAATTATCTTCTGGAAAAAGGATTAAATTTAATATTATGGCTACGAAAAGTGAGGAGGTAAGTTTTATGTTTATGCTTTTCTTCTACATTTTTGTTTATAGTATATAATTGTATTAAATGGTTAAACAAAATAAATAAAATGTTTAAAAGGGGGATGTGTGCATGTAATGTAACAAAATTTTAGATATTTTACAGAAAGAATTTTTAATTATATTTTATTTTACTTGTTTCATTTCACATTAAAAATTTACTACAAAGAAATTAAAATATTATTGTGATAAGTAAATTTGTCTCTTTACAGTTAAAACTGGACATAGAAGAATTGAATGCTTTTCTACAACAAGCTACACGTTCCAAAGTAAAAGATATTCTTTCTTTAGAAATTAGACGATTGCAGACAGAGGTAGGAAAATTGATTGAGGAAAATAAAGATGTATGTCCTAAATCAGTAAATTCATCCATTAATTCTACTTCTAAATGTTATGATGTTAAGATAAACAATTATTGTTGGGATCAAACGAATAGCGTTGTGAAAATATATGTTCAATTAAAGAGCGTGCATCTTTTACCAAACAGTAGCGTTGTCTGTAAATATACTGAAAAGTCCATGGATTTGTACGTTTACGGATTGGACAATAAAAATTATCACTTACCGATCAATAATTTATGCGAAGATATTGACACTGAAAAGAGTTATTTCAAAGTAAAGGCAGATATGATCATTGTATATCTCTCAAAAAAATCTCTAAAAAATTGGTCGCATGTAACTGGCGTTGAAAAAAGAATAAAAGAAGCGAAAACTCCAACGGTTCCTGATATGGGAGATGATCCCGGTACAAATTTAGTCAATCTAATGAAGAAAATATATCAAGATGGAGATGATGAGATGAAAAAGACAATAGCTAAGATATGGACTGAAAATCAACATAAATCTGCTGCTGGTCTGTCAGGTTTTGATTATTAATTATAAAACAATACTTTATTAAATGTATTTTATGTTACATTATAATGACACACAAATTTAGGCCTAAATATATTACATATATCAACTTATATTATGTATAATTAGAATAAAGTTCCTCAAATCCAAATTTATCATAGTTACAAGTAAAGTAACAAGTAAACGAGTAGATTTCAATTGCATTTATCTAATCAATACCAATTATAAAACCTTCTTATTTCCGATTATTAAATTGATATTTATGATACCAATTATGGTATTTTTTTTTTCATCGTTACATTTACAAGAGATACAAATGCCAATTTTTATAATTGTAACATTTAATATTATATAATAAGAAGTAATAAAATATTAAGAATGTTTACTGTACAATTCGATTTATTTTTCATTTTCAATCATGACAAGCCATTCTTATAATTTACAATTTTTAGTATTATAATTATTATTATTATTATTATTAGTCTTACTGTATAAAATACAAAAGAGATACTCAAGTAATTCGTTTAGTTATAAAATGATCATCAATTTCTTTTTTTTTTCATTTTTCTTTTTCTTTTTCTTTTTCCATGTGCATTCCAAATATAAAACTTCCAACATTGTCAGTTGACAAACTATACATTAGGGTAGTACATATTTTTAATATCCGGTGCATCGATGGAAGTAGAAATATGTATATAAAATAAAAATTTGTTAACTTCGTTTGGTACAATATTGACATTTTTAATAGTTACGCAATCTTTCTATTTTTTAAAAATTCATTAACATTTAATACATTAATGCAAAATGAGCATTAATAATATAAATTGATAATTAAATAATTATCATTTAAATTAGAAACTTTTTTTGCAAAATGTCCGTCGATTTAACAATATAAAATACATAGTATTTATTGATAACCAATCGTTTAAAACCTTTCTTTCGTTCTCTCTCTCCCTCTTTTACAGTACATTCAATATTTATTCTTGCAAGTATTAACTACACAAATCTAATTATAATTTTAATATGGCCATTAGGTATAGATATCTTACGTGTTTGCATAAGTGGAAAACTTATAGCCCTTAAAAATTCATGGATAATATATACACCTTGTCTTTCTTAAGGAGTAAAATATTCACAAAATATTTTTAAAAACAAGAACTCTGCCCAACAGATTTTTAAATAACTTAAAAGAAAAATAAACATTTTTTTCTTTCTATCACATACACATTGCATTCGAATCTCACTTGGAATGAAATAAAAAAAAAGCATACCTTAAAATTCTACTTTTTGGAACTGTGTAGACCTATAGAAGTATAGTAAAATAGTCGAGTATTAGACTAGATACTGTGACATCATGGTATAAGACATTTTATCAACAGATATGTGATGTTATGTTTTACTTAGCAACTAAATAAATGGCATAGACAATCACAATTTTTATGGCCCCAATAAATCAATGTCATATATACATATGTAACCATGTGTTATAATAATCATGAAATAAAACATATTTTGTTTCCAGTTATGTATACGAATATGGATTAAAATAATTAAACACACACATAGCGACGTATAGATCCTAATATTAAAAACTTTTTCTAATTATATATTTTTTTTTTAACAACTAAGCGCTTATGCACGTATTATATATATAGAGTCTTTCACCTAACTAGACCACCTTAAATATATCATTTATTTCATATGATAGAAAAAATGTCGCCAATACAGTGGCCCGAATTTAAAAAAAAAAAATCGACGTGTAAGACACTCAATACAAGTAAAAAATTTTCTCTTGTACAAGACACAAAATTTCACAATGTTTTCGGTAAAAGTCACTTGAAAACTAAACATATTGCATTTCATTCATTGGATTCGTTTTCTTATAAGGTATAAGACTGTTGCAGTGAAAATATGCATTTCCATTTAAAACAATGGACATTGTTTTCTATCGTATGAAATAAGCGATATATTTAAGATAGTCTAGTTAGGAAAGATCCTGTATATATACATACTATATATATAATTTCTTTAATCGATGTCTTCATTTATAGTACAAATTGGAAGCAACCGAAACTGAACACAGTCTTAAACATAAATAAAACATGAAACAAATTTAAATTTTAGAATTGACGTATCAAAAAGTGGCCGTACATTTGTTGATTGCATATTGACTAGTATCTTACATTAATCAAAGAAAATTTTGTTTACATTCATATAATACCATGCCTTTTATAAGAAGTACGAAAAAAATAAATGTATAGGGAATGCAAAATGTGTGTATTCTAATTTTGTTCTTATCGATAATTAATAGTAACTAAATTATCATTAACTTATAAGAATAGTACTTATTCTAGAAATCTAATTGCCATTTACAGAACTTAAGTAAATCAAAAAATGGAAGAATATAAAAGAATTAAATGAACATATTAGGTAGTATATGATAAGAACGATACATCTGCCTTAACATATAAAGATATGTACTGTTAATCGACAGTACGAAATTAAAAAATACTTTTAGAATTATATTAGGCGTTTTGAAAATTGTGGTACAACCAAAAACGAAATGATTCTAATTAAGAAAATAATTCTTACAAATATAATATACGATAAAACTTTTTGATTTATATATAAATTCCAATTTTGGAAAAATTATCTAGGAATATACATATATATTCATTTAGCTAAAACATTATTAAATTTTCTATCTAACTCGTAAAACATATATAGACATAAAATTTTAAAATTTAGATAAGTTATAAATACATAAATATATATACATATAAGTATATGTATCAGGCCGAAATTGAAATTCGATTCAACAAAATTTGTTTACATATAATTTGGAATTTTTTCTCTTGAGAAAGAAAAGTTATCCTTATAGATTATACCACGATTTTAGTAGACACCTTACATACATTTACAATTTAGTTTTAATTATAAAATTATTATGTGATATATCAATTAAGCCATTGATAATTAATAATATTTTAATAGTCGATATTATATAAAAAATATATTAGTAAATTATATTAATTAGATTCAAAAGAATGTTTGCGTTTTTTTTTTTACTACGTAAAATTTATAAATCTATTTTAATGAATTATTATCAACTTTTGATATATATATTTAATTCTTTTACTAAATTTACGAATGAGAAGAAATGAAAAAAAATGATTAATGTACATGATCTTTCACCTAACTCGACCACCTAAAATATCTCATTTATTTCGTACGACAGAAAAAAATATCAAAGGAAAAAAATTTTCTATCCGAAAGCGCAGACATAGTAAAAGACCGAATTTTTTTCTTAAGGTCATTTTTGTCGAAATATCGAAGTCATTGTATTTTTTTTAAATAAGATTGAATATTTATATTAGAATAATCTTATAGCTTATAAAAAACAAATCTAAAACTGCGCAATATGTTTACCACCAAGTGACTTTAATCGAGAAAAAAGTGAAATGTTGTCTCTTGTACATGAGAAGAATTTTTACTTATATGAGTGTTTTATACGTTGATGACTTGGAGAACAAAACTTCGGGCTTTTACTATAACGGCGTTTTCGAATAGAATATTTTTTTCCTTTGATATTTTTTTCTATCGTACGAAATAAACGAGATATTTTAGGTGATCGAGTTAGGCGAAAGATCCCGTATACTAATTTGTATATAAGTGTGTATATAATATAAGAAAACGTATATTAAAATAAAAAATAAAATAACATATAATATTTTTATCAAGAATTAATACGATTTTTTTTACTTGTAATCAACGTCCTTTTGTAAATATAACAATGAAAATAAATATAATCGATTAATATTAAAAGCAGACAAAAAGGATACATTAGTCTTTGGGTTTCATTTTGAAATTCAATTAAAGTGTCAGTTGAATTCTCAAGGAATGATCATTCTATATATGGCTTAGCAGAAGGAAGTGCAAGTTGTACCTCTGTACTAGTTGCATGAAAGACTTCGCTCATAATATTTCTAGTTTTCTCCATTAATGATTCTACATCGTCTTTGTTTAATCCCTTAGTAGATATAAGTGGTAATGTTGTTATAACTGTGTGACCTTAGTATAAAAATAAATTATTAATTTGTTATATTGTGATGTATCATTTAAAAAAGGTATAATGAATTTTATAAGTATGAATTACCTGAATCAAATCTTTTTTCTTTGTTAGACAAAAAATAATATGATGAAAATACTACTGGTAATATAGGTAACTGAGCATTAATTGCAGCATAAAAGGCACCTTTTTTAAATGGATGAATTTCTCCAGTATTATGTCGTGTACCTTCTGGAAATATCCATAGTTTGAACTAAAAGAATTTCACGAATTAGAATTCCTGTTTCCTACTTTCGATCAAATATCTACAATTTATTAATTAAGACAACTAAAAAATTAGGATATTAAGTTCTTCGTTAGATATAATATTTGCACATATATTCAAATTACCTTTTTATCTTTTGATTGTTTGGAGGCTGTATTAATAACAGAACGGGCTTTTTTTGAATTCAATCTATCTATAAATATTAATCCAGATAGCCAAGCAGCAAGACCAAAAGGCCAGGCATAAAAGACTTCTTTTTTAGCGACTGCTGTACATCTGTTCATTATCGGCCATAAATAAAACATCCCCAAAAGATCTAAGGAACTTTGATGATTAGCTACTATAATGCATGCTACATCTTGATTTAAATGTTCTTTCCCTCTAAGTTCCCAACGTAATCCCAATAAAAAGCTAATATGATTGCAAAAGTATGATGATAATCTGTAATATAAAATTGTTTATAGATATCTTCTCTTTAATAATTGGTCTTTTTTTTTTTAACTAATTAATGCCAACAGTTTAAATATTAAATATTAACAAATCATAAATGTATATATTTGAAAACATGAAACATGAATAAACCGATGCATGAAAATTTCATTATAATAATTCAATAAAAAATTTTCCTATGAAATTAAAGAATAAATAAATAGTGTTGCACATTAAATAAAAAATCAACAAATACTTGTAAAATAACATAAATGATAATTTATACTTCCTCGAATCGTATTTCATGTACTTGAGCTACTATAAGTTGAAAATTTAAAATCATATTTCTTGAGAATTTATTTGAAAATATTCAATTTTACCGCGTATATCATAGGCGGTTATGATATGCTATTACGAACACTAGTAGCAGACGATCGGTATCGTTAATAAACGATCAATTTTCTTATCACAACAATTGGGCATAATAAATATATACAGAAATTGATCAACCCTTAAATAGAGAAGTAAACAATTGTTTTTGAATCGAATAAATGAAATTAATCAAATATTACCTTAATTTAAATTTTCTTTAATTAACGAGTTGGTAGATTTCTGTATAGTAAATTATGCCCGATCGTAAAACGTTGTCATTAATAATTATAAATTAATGTTAATGAAAATAAATATAAATGTTAATTAAAATGAAAAAATGAAGAGGAAGAAGAATTAATCCATCGGGAAAAAAAAATAAAAATACGAAAAGTCAATGTATCTTAATCGAATACTAACACAAGATTCTTTAGGCTTCTCGGTCGTAGAAGAAATATCGGTATCAATACAGTGGCGATGAAAGTTACAATGCCATAATAGACGATAAACTTGAAGTAATAACGAAAAGTCCGGCTTGTTTCATAGAGAAAAGGTAATAACAGGATGAATCCAAAGAGTATTAACTCGAAGCTTGATGGGGCCATTACTTTTACAACGAAGGGCGGTGCTTCAGGATTTTTGACGTTTCCCCTTTTATATTTGTCTTCGTCTGCTGCTTTATATTAAAAACGTCTACGATCTGAACTTCTTCGATGCTCAATTTTTTTGTCTTCTTTTTCTTAATATTAATATTATTATTAGAACGCTTGAAGGACTATACTATTTATTAAAAACTACGAATAATAAACTAAAACGAAGCGGATTACGAACTACCGCCGGCGAACTGTCGCGCACTGTCAATGTTCCGAATTACCACCTTTATAAAGATTCGACTAGTTCTGATGATGGTAGGAAAATATATATATATATATATATACTTAGGGGATATAGAAAAAGGAAGGGTATATGTAGATTAAGGTAGAGTAGAATGTAAAAAATGACTATAATGCACGTTTATCTTTTTCCTTCTTCATTTTATACAATGTCAATAATAATTTTTTCAATGTTTCTTATTTTTTTGTAATTTTTCTTTCATATGTATATTTTTAACGCTTTTAAATAAAATACCTGAAAAGAATTTAAAGCGAATATTGAATTGCGCTGTTATAAATTCGATCGATTGTTTTTTTACTAACGTTAAAATCTTTACATATATAAAAATAAACGCGCACGTAATGATATTCACAATTTTTCTTTTCCATTTTTTCAACAGTTTCTGTTTAGTAATTATCTTTAAAATGCAATATATTTATGATCATTTTATTACATGACGAATATTTATTTACAAAAAATTAAATAAACGCTTTGCTTATTTCCATGCTTTTGGTCAGACTTCTTTTTTTATTTAATAATACGAATGTAAATATAAATTTTTGCATTTACGTCTGTCTATTGATAAAGTAGATTTGTCAAGTTTTTTCTTTGATTTTATTATTAATAGTACTGGCCTATCGAGAGATAAAAAAATCAATGTTTGAATTATTGTTATTATATTTATTATCGGTTAGTATCTAATCTCTTTTATTCGTTTTTTTTTTATATATAACGTCAATGCACGTGTATATACGAAAGCTCATTGTAATTGAATTTACGATATCGTCCGTTTGTGTGATTGGTTCAAAAGTTGAACTTTAACCAATGCAACCAACATAACCAATAATTTGATTCGTTAGTATAATTTGATTGTATACTCTTTATATTAACTGTAATTTTCTATAATTTGGATGATTGTAATACAGAATATCCGATATTTTTTAATAGATATTAGAAATGACTTATATAAATAGAAAAATTAACTTACGTAAGTTATTAGCATAAGATTTATACAACATTACTAATTTATCAAAAATTAAGTTACGTATATACAAATAATGTATACGTAAGAAAAAAAAAAAGAAATTTATTTATACATATAAGGGATTACATTTTTTATTATATTATAGTTATAAAAAAAAAACTAAAATATAATTACCGCGCTTTTTTATTTCTAGGGAAAATTAAAACAGATGCAATATTGTAACAGACGGATTGTTAACCAAAAAAAAACATACGATAAAAATATCAGTAAGCTATCCAATATTATTCTCAGCATATATTATTCGATCAGGAATTGAAGATAAATTACACGATAGAAGTGTCTTAATTGTTATTTCAATATATATTATATTAATAATATACATAACGTGACATATATGTACAGTAGCTAATAATGAAGAACATTAACCCACGTGTTCATGGTTATTGACGAGATAATACTAACAGATGAATGAAATTCATTAAAAGAATCTTCTTATTATCGGTATTATTAATAGGAACCGAATAAAACATTTAACATGGCGAATTTCGACGAAGTGAAGAAAATAATATTAGCCTTATTAATTTCCCGAAAAGAACCTACTTCTTTAAGCATGCTAGTAAAAGATTATTTTGAACAAGAAGGTAAATCTATACCGTGGAAAGAGTTAGGGCATGCTTCATTATTAAATTATTTGAAAAGTATGTCAAATTGTATATCTTTAGAGAAAAATGATGGTATATATTATGCTCGTGGTATTGCATCTAATAAATCTAAACATATTAGTTCGTTGGTAGCAAGACAAAAAACAAAGTTAAAAATTCGATCTCACGTACGTAAATACAAATCCAGCCAATATTATCCAATTAAATCAATACCGAGGATTCACATACCTGATAATATATTGAGTGATTTAATATTGATTATTAAACAAAGTCCAAATGGTATTAATAAAGATTATGCTTTAAAATGGCTTCATAATAAATTACCAGACTTAAACTTGTCTATAACAAGTCTTGAAGAGATAGTAAAGGATATGCCACATAAGATACATATAGATGGACATAGAATCTTTTCATTTCAAAATGAAAAGAAATCTGATCAATGTTGGTTTTCAAAAAATTTGCCAATGGTAGAAAATGAAAATCTACAGTCTAAAGATTCTGTGAAATTAAAATATTTTGTTAGTGGGGATACCGAATCTGAGAAAGAATCAGATGATGATGTAGCAAAGAAAAATCGGATGATGAATAGCACAGATAATAAAAACCAAATTTCTAACAAGAAGCAATCTACTTCTACATTCATACAAAAGACTGTATCTAAATGTCATAAAACAGATGATCATATGCAACATTATAGTTCGGAAAGTAATACTGTTTTAGATAATTCTTTACAAAAATTACATAACGAGAATATTATACTCTTTGATAAGAAACATATAAGATTATTTATAAGTGATAGAAAAATATATCAACTAGAAAAACTTATTGAAAAATATCCAAACGGTATTTGGTGTGCAGATCTTCCTAAAAAGTATCAAGAAGAATATAATGTACCTTTGAATTATAACGATCTAGGTTTCAATAGTGTACGAGAATTTGCATCGTATTTGCCAGGAATCTTTCAATGTAGAAAACTTCCACAATCAGAGGATTTTATTCTCTATGATGCTAAAGCGGAATTGACCGATATCAATAAAACAACACTTCCAAATAAAATTGGACCATATACTCAATCGTATTTAATGGAAGATGAAACAGATGCTTTGCCTGTCGTATTAGTAAGTAATATTTGAATATAGTATAGTTTGCATATACATGGGTTACTATATATTTTATGTATATTTTATAGTCAAATGATACATCTAACAAACTAATCCCAGAAGACGTAATGGCTCTAGGAGAATCTGTAGGACAAATATATGTAAAAGATATACAAAATAGACCACAGCAATACGTAGAAGTTATGGTTATAGAAGTATTTATGCCATCGTTATTTTGGGTAAATCTTCGTAAGGAACAAAAACATTTACATAAACTGATGGATGCTCTTCAGTAAGTTATTTTATCATGTGTTATAATATATATTATATTTCCCTTGTGTAAATGTAGCTGATGTTTTTTTATAGTATTTTTTACGAAGAAAACTTCTTAAATTATAAAATTCCTATTGCTGTGCTTGAAATAGGTTTAAATTGTGCATGCAAATATAATAATAGTTGGCATAGAGGGATAATAAAATCTGTCAGATATGATTTACACGCAACTGTAAGTAATCAAACTCAAGATATTATTTATCATGGCTTATAAAAAAATTAACTGAAGTTTAACTTTCTCTTAAACAGATAATGTTTTATGATTATGGAACGTTGAAAACTTATCCGCCTGAGGAATTATTCTATTTACATCGAGCATTTTCGTATTTACCAGCTCAAGCAATACCATGTGGCTTGTACAATGTTAAACCATTTGTTGGAGATAAATGGTCAAGGGATGTTACGGAAAAATTTGCTTCTAAAGTTTTACTGGAACCTCTTATTGCAACTATAGTATCAACTGATCCAGAGGTAAATAATTTAAATACTACATTGCAAAAGATTTGAACATTGATTGATAAACTTATCGTTAGTGATAATTTAGACATTTAATGTCATATTTAATACTGTAACATGTTCTTAATTTAGAATAATTCTATGCTGGTAACTTTGGTTAATACAAAAACAGAAGAGGATGTACATATTAATGATTGGATGGTTCATCAAAATCTGGCAGTATATGGAAAAATGGTTCGTATAAGACCTCGAAACTTTTCATTTTATTATTATTTAAAATCTAAAGAGATTAACAAAACTAATATTGAAAATCCTAGTAGTTCTACATTAGATATTTCGAGAACTAATGAAACATCTGTAATAAATTTATTTAAAAATATAAATAAACGTGCATTATCTGCATCTTTACAAAATCATTGTAAAAGCGATATTGTTTTGAACAATTCGAAAGAATGTGCTCAACGTTTGGAAAAATCAAATAATTTCATCCAAAACAATCATTCCAAAACATCAATAAGATTGGATGATCAGTTACAAGTATTAAAAAATAATAAACAATATTTTTCTGATATTGAAGTTTTATCAAGTCTTTTGGAAAAGAATGAATTTGAAACAGGATTGGAAGAAATAATTGGTTCAAATTATATATCTTCAGCGACTCAGTCAGAAGAACAAAAAAATTGTGATATTAAAATGAATATGAAAAATGTTATCGAAAGTGATGATATTGAAATACGCATTCAAGAGGAAAAGCAGGAACACGAAGATATACCTTTGCCAAAGAGATATTTCACAAATGCACTTAATTTCAGTCAAAATTTACAATCGAAATATCAGGATTATGATATATCACCTGATGATAATATCATACCAACTGTTGAATGTTCCGAATTAATTTCTAATTTTAACAATTACATTGATTTACAAAATATCAAAATAGGCGTACCAGAAATAATTCTTTCTGCATTAAGGACTGATAAAAGTCAAGTAAATGATCAATGTTCTGTTAATACAATACAAAATATAAATGATTCGTTAAATCAAATAGAACAACTAACAAGTAAATCGAGTATTTCAAGTAAGTTAGTTAATGAGACAAATTTTTCTAGTATGATTGAAATTAATCAAAAAAGTGATAATTCATGTGAAACTTCTAAAACTTTAATTCCAATCTATAATAAATGCAATGAAGATACAAAATTGGATTTTGACGATTATTTAAACTCAGAAAATTGTGATGATGATAATGATGATAATAATAATAAAAATAATAATAATAATAATAATAATAATAATAATAATAATAATAATAATAATAATAANTAATAATAATAATAATAATAATAATAATAATAATAATAATAATAATAATAATAATAATAATAATAATAATAATAATAATAATAATAATAATGAAACAAAAAAAGAAGTATTAGATGTTCGTATGAATGAGGAAAACTTTAACTCGATTCCACGTAAAAGTGTCAATGAAAGTAATTTAATGAAAATTACTTCTCGGTTACGATCACTCTTAAAAATAAAAAGCTTACACTTTGAATGCACAGAACTGCATAAATCTACTGAAACAAGTTACAATAAACAAAAAAATGAACCGAATAAAAATCAACGAGAAGAACATATGAATAACGTCAGTGACGTTGCTGCACATATAACAGATAATAAACTTGTAAATAATTCTAAACAATTAGATAAATTAATATTGGAAAAATCATGTAAAGAAATAATACAGACGGATGATAATGATTTACAACATGATAACGACGATAAATGGAGTATTGTAGGTAACTTAGATGATTTCATTTTTGGAAAGATTATTCTGTCAAGTTTAAGAGATAATCCGATAATTAATAATGATGGTAACGAATAAAAATCATTGAATATAATGGAAGATAGAAATTACAATAATGATTATTGTAAGGAAAATTGAGAATCTCAAATTTTTGACATTAAAATGATTGAAGATGCTTGAGTCATTTTGTTAAATAAAATTGAATTTAAAAATATATTACGTATTTAATATAAAAATTAGAAGAGTTTTGTTATATTATATTGTTAACGAACACACATCAAAAAATCCGATACGATCAAAAATAAAGGTACTCTTATAGATGTAGATAATGTACGTTATTAACACTTTGACCTCCGGGCGTTTCGAAAAAATTTCTTCGCTTGACGCCGGCTATTTTGGATTACTTCGCGTACGCTCGACTGTATTCTAACTGCATGTCGCCGGGCGTAGAACTACGCTTTGTGCATGACACCAATGTGGTGTCGCCGGACGTCATAGTGTTAACAATAAGTTTAGCAGAATCATTAGCATTATTGTTGCATAAAGTTTTGAACAAAGTTTAATTTAAAATTTTTTAGTTATATATTTTAATCAAAAATATTGTATTAACCCCTTGGCCTATAACCACGAGTCTGACTCGTGGTAAAGAATTTGTGTTAGGCAGTTAGGGTATACGGCTGAACAGTTGAATGGCACGGCGCGCGAACGACTTTTTTGTTTACTATAGCTCAAGTAATTGGCAAATATCGTGTAGGCCAAGGGGTTAATATTCAAAATCTAAAGAATAAGATCATTTTATTTTTGTTTGATCTTTTTTTTATAACACTTAGGGAGAAATATATTACTTTGTTTTATTTGTTTTATGTAATAGAAAATTTTACATATATATAATAATAAAGATTTGTACTTTATTTAAAAATTATTGTATTTCATTTATTTTATTAGTATTTAATTAAATGTAGATGATAATTCTTAATAAGGTAAAATATTTTTCCCTAAGTAACTTCCTGGTTTTTTTTTAACTTTATATCCAAAAATAAATATAAAAATATTAATATATGTAATTTTCTTTTGTGATCTGTAGGGTGATGTAATTGACATGAGTAATTTAATGTCATTTGTGGAGGAAAATTTACTTTATGATCTAGACAACAAATGTTATGAAAAGGATTATTATATTCCTAATGAAGAGAATGATAAAACTTGTGAAAAATATTTAAAAAACACTCCTTTGATATCACCTCAGAGCACATTACCTAAACAATCATCCAATATATTATTTCGTTCATCATTCTGTGATGATTTTACTAAATTAGCGCAAAAGAATTCAGATTATAATCCATTTTTAAACGTACATAATGATGAATGCAATAATTGGGAAGATGAACAAGCAGGCAAAAAAATTTCAACTAACAATCCTTTCTTTGAATCCATAAATAAGCAAACAGAGTTTATTAATACTTTGTCACCAGAAATGTTTATGCAAATTTTGAAGACAAATGAAAAAATTCAAAAGCAAATATTATTCATATTTTCTTCTCTTATTGTAAAATTGGACTCAGCATTTATTGAAAATAATTATCATTCACCAGAAAGCGAATTAAAGAAAAGTTACGAAGAACGTTTGCTTCATGCTTCTGAATTTTTGGAAAATATTATTTTAAAAGAAGATATATCAACTTTATTAAAATCAAAACCAACAAACTATTTTAATAATACTAACACTGGTTTTCAATCTGATCAAAGTAATGGAATGTTTATGTCTTTATTTGCAAATAATAATAATTATGTTGCTAATGGAAAGTCAGAAATCAATAATTATAACGCAAACAAAGTACAATACGAACCGTTCGAACAAATAAATGACACGAATAATATTGTTATAAATTCGAAACCAGAAGTTTCATATATCCAATCTATTTGTACGGATAATGATAATAGCGCTATTATAAATTCATGTCAAGAAAAATCAGCTATGACTGAATTAAAAACCAAAACGGCTGCTTTCCCATATCAAAATGATTTTAAAGATATAAACAAAAATCAATCTAATATATCTAATTCAATATTGAAAAGAGAAATAATATATAATGAATGTAATGAAACCAATCCATTTAAAATCATATTAAAATTGAAAGAGTGCAAAGACTTAAATGCAGTTCAAGTAGAAGATAATAAGCTTGATTTCGAGAAATATTATTTATCAGACTGTACTAATTTCGATCAAAATCGTATTGAAATGAACAATACACATGATCATGAATCAACAAAACAATATAACGATTATATGTCAGAATTTCTATCGACAGACAACAACAGACAATATGCAACATCTAATATGAATCTTGGCACATCATTATTTTCAGAAAATGATTATTTTCAGTCCTTTAACACTTATTCTACATCATTTGGGAATAATGAAACAGAAGAATTAATTAATTCAACAGTTTTATCGTCATTAAATAACTTATTGATATCAGACGAATTCAGGTTTGATAGACAAAATTTTAGCCCTAATTCCGAAGTATGCTTCAATATGTCAAATAAAGGATGTATTAAGGAATTAAAAGTTAATAGTTCACAAGAATCAGTAAATATTCCTGGAAGAACTTTACTCGAAGATGTGGAGAAGCCTATATTATCTCAAGTAAATGTTCCAAATGAATCACATATAAATCAACAGCACCAAACTACTGTAGTTTGTCCGAATAATTATGAAAAAGCAATTACAAATTTTGATTCACAGTATACAGATACAGTATACTATAGAGAACACACAAATAATGACGAAAGGAATGTTAATCATGTTATAGAAAATAATATAGATTTTCAGAATTACAATGGAACATTTCCAACTAATTCAAATATCATCGATATCAATCATCGAGAACAGGATGTAGAAAATGAACATGATAACCAGAATACATATTTTATAAAGACATTGACCAAAGAGAAAATAAATGTTCCTTGGAACGAATCTTTAGTAAGAACTGATAAAGGATTGACAAGACTTTATTTTCGAATAACAGGTTTGTTTTTAAGTTTTATATTTTGTATTGAAATTTGATTTTGATTCGAGTAATGCTTTATATTATTTATACAGAATTAAACAAAAAGAAATTCTGCATATTTCATTTGGAAAATCAAGGATGGATACGTGTTAATGATTTTGTGGAAGAATTTACTAATTATAAAACAGTTTCAGAATTTTACGAACAGTTACAGCATGACCATCTTTCTATTGCTTATTTTAAGAAAATTAAAAGATTAGAAAATTTAACTCCATTTTTTCAATACGATGAGTGAGTATAATCAAAAATATATAATAAATATTATATTATAATTCAAAAAGAGCTTCCTATTTTTTATTTTTATTCTAGGATCTTTTTAAATGTGTTTGGAGATAAGATGAACAAGAATGTTGATATTCAACTGATATCATTAATTTCTATTTTAAAAATATTATTAAAACTTAGAATAATTACGTACGAAGATATAAATGACGTTAAGGAAAATGGTACAAACTTTACAGGAAATACAATTGTTTATAAAGCATGGGTAAATACTGCAGAATAATTACAATCTATATCCAATAGTTATTTATATTTGCAATAACTCTATAACAATTTTTCAGATTTTAATTGCATGTTATGGAAAATTAAAACCTTTCATACCAGAAATGTTATAGTAAACATTATGTAAAACAAATGTAATTTATGTAAGATATAAATTATTTTATAATCTGTTGTACTTAGAGTTTATCTTCTTGTTAAGAAAGAGTCTATAGATATATTTTTTTATTACAACTAGTATATAGAAAACATAAGTATCATGTATTAGAAAGTATAATATAAAGAGTTATATTATTAATACAGAACTACATATATTTATTATACTAAACGCTTTTATGCAAACAAAGTTCCTTGGAAGTACAATTAATAGTTGTAATTATATAGTATTATTACGATTATTATAAATAACAAAATGTAATAATTTGTGTCTATGAGAAATATATTGCAATTTTTGTTAAAATGTATTTTGTTTATAATCATAAAATTTCTCTAATGAAAAAATGGCATTTTCAAATCAAGTTTATTTCAAATTTTTCAAAAACTCGATATAAATCGATAATAGAAATTGAGACGTCTATCGGAATTTTGTTGTATTATCGGTACAACTCTCAATTCCGTAACGAGCAGCTATAAGCGCTCCTTAGCAGACAAAATTTTGTCTGTTTAATGATTAGATATTAATATCATTTCGTTTATTGAGTAAATTTCCAAATTTTATTAATAAGAACAAAATGGCTGGAAAAGTAAATAAAGAAGCAGAGAACTTGAAAGGTTTTTTAAAATATTTTAATAGCGTAACCCTACAGGGACGAGCAAACGTAAGTAACCTTATTGTCATTTCTTACTGTTCCAACTGATACATTTTCTAAAAATGAATATTAAGAAAGTAAATTGCAATGATGTATGTATTAAACATTATTTTCAATTTTTTAGGTAGCTATGACAACGTATGCTTGCTTAGCTGTACTTGGATGTTATCTCTATTTCAAACCAAAGAAAGCTGCGACTAAATAAGAAAATGAAAGCATACAATCATCTTATATAATGATTTTGTCCATAAATTAGGTACACTATTTAATTAATAAAAATGTAGTAAACAATTTATGATCTCGTTTTCTTCTGTATTTTAAATTATCTATTTCAAATTTATGGTATTATTGCAGACAAACTCTGCAATGCCAAAATTTTTATTGTTTTTTACTATAATAGAATATTTTAAATATAAATATAACTTTTAAAATTGATATCCAAATATTTGAACAAATGGTATGTACTACTATATTAGAAAATTTACATTTTAATGAATATATTTAATACTAGTGCAATTCTATTTTTATGTTTATTGGATGTAGACATATACGAGATATCTTGTAATTGATATAAGTGAATAGGAGTTGATGTTACATGAAAAACTAAATAAAAATGTAAAATACTATTTTTTCATAACATGTTTTATTTCTAAAAATATTTTTTTTCTTAGCGAGAATTATAAGTAATTTTTTCCGACGTGATAGATTAACATGAATTGTAAATAAAAGACAATGATAAGTTTAAACATATATCACTCTATTAGCATAACAAAATTGTTAATTATCCTAAACTTGTTTCCAAATTAGAAGGGTAGAATATTTTTAGTCTACCTACTAAATTAGAATTTTCAAGTAAATTATTTGCTAGACGGTTCAAATCGTTTATTAAACGAATGCTGTAGAAATCACTGAATTTTACAATTTCCTTTTTTTATTGCAGCGATTCTTTAATTTTTATGAATTCTTTCATTAGTTATGTACCAATTACATGTAACAAAAGTCGATAATTAGAGAAAACAATTTTATCAACCGAACGATAATATAAGAACCCTGTTTTGTTGACCAAGTAATAATGATAGAATCCTGCTTTACTTACCGGCAGATATTATTAGTTTTTTTTTATTGACCAATAATTATAGAGTCCTTTTTTATTGATCTAACGAAACTAGCAGAGTCCTATCGTACTAACAGTCGGTAATAATAGTGAGTTCGAAGGTTTTAAAAATAACAAAAGTATCGTAGAAGCATTGGATAAACTCTTGAGAATACCGACATTAAACGATTTCAAAATAAGGACAATTTTTAGTTGGTTTTGTTTGGCTGAGACACCCTGTATAAATGAAAATAATTGAAGTACTTTATTATTACTAGAATTTAATATATCAGGATATTACATCATTTTGTTTTATAATTACGAGAGCGCATTATTTTCCCTCCACTTAATTTTAATTTTAATTGATATCTTAGAAATTGGAGGATAAAACAATTTTTAAATAGATTTTATTATATTTCTTTTTCTTCATATTAAATCTAATAATATAATATAATCAAAAAGTTATATATTAATAGATATTAATAATAAGATTTCCAATGTTGCTTATCATTGTAATATCTAGCACAATTCAAAATTTTATCAGATAATTTAATATTAACAAAATATTGGAATAATTTAGTGATATCATTTTTTTGGCAAAAATTCGTGACGCGTTAGATTAGCGTATAATTATATGTGTGTATAGATTAATTTTTGACTGTTGTTTTACTTTTATCAATGAATTAGAATCGATATTTTGTGTGACAGCAATTAAAATTTATTATTTTTTGATAATATATATATTATTTGATATTATATAGAGATTTACCATTGAAAATATTATTCTAGAAATCGTTGCGAATCAGAAATACGCTACGCGAATAACGCTATATATTATATTTATATATTTTGAATATTTATTTATAAGAGTAGGTTCAAAAGTATTCAGCTTATTCTTTTTCTAAAGTTTTGAGATTACGTCACAAAATATTAGTTAGTTTGATCGACAAATAAAATTGTTTCTACGTCAGGCTTAAGACTTTTCAACCCACTCACGTATATACAGGGTGGTCAGTTGTTTCCTGCAAAATTTTACCAGTATATTTTACAAATGCTGATAAAATTATACGGAAAAAATCTATGACACTCCTTATATAATATATTCACAGTATTTTTCATAATAGTCTTTTCATTTAGTGTTATAGATATAGATATATAATTATAAGATTTTTGTACAAATATTTTACTTTTTGGAACACTTTCCATATTGAAGTCGTGTGTAGTTTATAAATATACATAGAATATATGTAATTTTATATCCCTATATATATATATATATATATATATGTAATCTTTACATTTGCGTAGCACTTATTTAAAAATTTTTTTTATTAGAACGGCTATGTCTCGTACATACAGTCTCGTGTTTCTTTATCTTAAAATACATGATCATTTAAATAGAATATTTACAACATTAAAACAACGATAACGATAGTTTAAGAGATAGATTTTTGAGATTATGAATAAATAGAAGAAGATTTTGATTGATCACAATTTTAAATTAAATTAATTGCCTTATATTTGGTCAATGATATATCCAATGAATTATACGATGAATAAATATGAATAATACTGTTTTTATTATCGCTTAGATTTATCAAGATTATGACCGAAGAGTTATGTTTTTTATCTAGATGAAATATTTTCAGCGCATTTGTTAAATACTATAAAAGGCAGACTGTCGTATTCGAAAACATATATTTCGCAGGAAATGCATTAACACCACATCGCAATATAAACAATACTAAATTGTGTTGCCTTCTAATAATGGGATAAAAATGTTTTTTTTTTCTTTTTTTTTTTTTTTTTTTCTTTTTCTCTCATTATTTATACAAATAATATCATTTTAAAAAGAAAATTAGATAGAGTACAAAAGTAAAAGAATTAGATCTATAAGATAAAATATAGTTATTTATATATTATTTCAATGGAAATAAATGTATTTTTTTTATTGATTGCCTTTTTTTTATTTAGTATATTTCTATCATACGCGAAGGAGGAGATGTAAGAATGAACTTAATAATATCTTAGGATTCACATATAACACGATCTAATAGGAATTTTATGATCATTCAAAAATGGGATTATATAGAAGAATCGTTATTATTATTTTTATTCCATCCATTTTGATCTGAAGATGAAATATTAGCAAATTTGTTTAAATTTCTCATAGAATTGCAAGGAGGATAATAAACTAGTGTACTTGGACTGGTTGGTTTATTCGATAATCTAATACTTTGTTTACTTCCCCCATTTGTATAGTGAACGTAATTGTTTCTATTAATGGTATTTGTTCTATTTAAATGATTATGCCTAATAGAATTTCTTAACTCTATGTTCGTCATATTCGTCACGCTCGATTCGTCACGGGTTTGATGTTCTGGACTGTCTCTGTCACGAATGAAAATTCCCGAACCACAAAATAGTTTCATAAATATCCGTTTGAATTTTCTACCGAAAATCACGTATATTATAAAATTGATACTACTATTTATGGTAACCAATAAATTACCTATTTGAACTAACCACCTAGGTGGATCGCCGATAAAAGTCTCCATAATATTTGAAGTAAGTGGTAAAATGTTACATATAACGAATACTATTACAACACAAAGTAACATAGTTGCCAATCCAATTTCTCGTCTTTGATGATGCGTCAGTTGTTGTAAATCCCTGTTCGCTTTTCTGACCTGTAACATTTATACGATAACGCATATATACATATATATATAATAACGAATAAGAAAAATATATTTTTATGTTGACATAAAACTAAAAAAAATCAAATATCCAATATATTGTCAAAATATTTCTTTTACGATCCATCTCATTCTATCTTATTCAAACGTCCAATTTCATGTATACAATTTTCTCTCGTAGGTGTTACGTATTATTTTGTTTAGAAGCAAAAGTGAGAATAGAAGAAAATATTGTATGTATTTTTCAAGTTGTTTCAAATGTATTCTTTTTCATTTTTAAAGTGAAACCATATGAGATGGAAAGAAAAGAGAGAAATAGAGTGAGAGAGAGAGGGAGAGAGAGTGTAAGTGAAATAGAAATCACAATCGATCGACGGTTGAACGAAATTATGCAAAATTCTAGTATTAGTGTGTGTATACATATATGTATTTTTATATTAATTATTAATAATATAATTACATATATTAAAATATTATATTAAATTATTATATTATACATATTTAATATATTTTTCTGTTTCACACACACACACACACACACATATTATATATAACGAGATATGTCGATCGATAGTTATATCGGGATGCGTTGGTTTATTGAAGGATGAGTGGGGGTAAATATACTTGAGAGTGTCCGAGATACTGTAATTAATTACTAATTAATCGAAAAAATGTCTATTGTTATTTAAATGCATGGAATATATGTTCGATGCACCATCCTCTTCGAAATCAGCTGTTAAACTGGCTCCGTTGTCTTCTGTGAAAGTTTTTTTATTAAATGTTGCTTATATGACATTATTAATGATTCAACGATCATAATATTTGTAATAAATAGAATTTCCTTATTTGGAAAGTCATAGAATTTTCATAGAGGACAACGGTGACAGTCTAACAGTGGATTTCGAAGAGAACGGAGCAACCAACATACATTCCGTGCTTTTAGACAACAATAGACATTTTTTCGATTAATTAACAATTAATTAAGGTAAATCGAACAGACAGTACTGTATTACGGTAATATATTAAGATTATTTAAACTAAAATACATTTATTTTAACGTTCCTAGCTTTTATCATGATTTTGAGTTTGATATTTTCATCTAAAAATCAAATTGTTTAATAGAAATATAATATTAATAGATATGTAATATTTAAACAAATGTATTTTGTGTATTATTCTTAATTTGAATAGATTATAATATTGATTTTTATCTTGATTTAATTGTAAAACAACACACGTATCATTCGTCGTTTCTTCGTTCTCAGGATATTAAACCTTTCGCACAAACTATTTCACCAAGATGAAAACAAGTAGAAAGAAAAAAGAAAAAACTTATTACTTTTTGCCATACTACATTTTGCTTCATTAACTGGGTCATTAGGTCATATTCGAGTTATCGTCCAAAAAGTGTGTGCAAGGTTTTAATAACTTCAATTTTAAAGGGTACTTCGAAATTCTGTTTTCTTTCTTTTTTTTTGTTTTTAAATGCATTTACGAAGAAAAATATGTAGAATGGTATATCTTATCGTTATTAGACTTACCCTTCGATAAATAGCCACGTTGAAAATAATTAAAGCGATTAGAGGAATGGAATAACACACGAAAAAGTACATCCAGTGGACGTATACGGTCACGTAAAGATCGTTGTTTCTCAAAGATGCTGGGCGTACGCAATATACCACCACATTGTATTTCCAATGCATCTCGGTGTAAATTTCTATTTCAAAAAATCTGAAACGAATATAAAATATACTCACGCGAGCGCGTCACGTATAAACGTATGCAATAAAAAAAGAAAAAAAGAAACAAGATTTAATAAATTATTCTCACTCCTGTGTGTGTGTGTGTGTTGTAAGAAAAATTTTTTAAATTATCATTGACGGATTTAGCACTCGCGAGAATCTTCAGGGATAATTTTATATTTCGAAGCATCTCTATAAATATTTTCTGTATTTTCTCCCGCTGCAGAAGTTTTATTTATTATTATGAGATCTGTGAGATTTTTTTCTGTACGCGGAAATCCGTCACTGATTATTCGAACTCGTTTTATTTTTCAAACGCGATTTTGTTTTATGTAAGAAAAAAATGAGTTAACTTTATTGAGAATATTATAGAGAACAAAACTGTGGAAGATAATATTACGATTGGTGGAAAAATTATTATGCATTTGAAAAAATATCAGGAAATAATGATCGTGAGATGATAATATTTTGATATGATAGAATGATTTCAATTCGATTACACGTGATTGATATGTAATTAATTGATAAAAATAAATATGAATAATAATAATATATAATAATAATTTTTCTTTCGTAAATAATATTTTACTTACTTTGGAGAATTGTAGATTAATGCAAAAATAACGATGCTTAGAAAAGCCAAACGAGCACGTCCACATGTACAAAATGATCTCGCTTTAAGAGGATGACAAACGGCGATGTATCTTTCTATTGTTACAGTTAACGTTAAATAAACCGTTGCTATTTGCGCAGCACACGATATTGGATATAAATATTTGACTATCTTCGGATAAACGACGAATTGGTAGTTAAAAAGATAGCCGGTGTAAAGGTAAATCGATGGTAATCCAAAGATGAGTATCTGTGTGAGTTAAATAACAACAAATTTAGATTTAATTGACAATTTATATCGATTGATTTACCGATATTATTTTGTTTAATAATCTAATTCATACAATCTTGTAGAGACTTGAATTATGGGCTCGGTTATTTACAGAGAGAGAGAGAGAGAGATTTCTATATAGAGATTTATAAAGGATTTAGTTAATACGAGATAACCATCGAGCATTTCGAAAAGTATAAAGAAAAAAGTCTTTTGGGACAATCAAAGTAAACAAGCTTTTGGAAAAAATCAATAAAAGAATCTTTTGGGAAGAATATAAAAGATTGGGACTAAGAAAGGGACTCGAAAAAACCGAACATCTGTGTCACGTACCTTACGACCAACCTTGAAAATATTTGTTTAGTTAGATTTACGACTTATTTCTTTTTTTTTTTTTTTTTTCTCTCTAACAAATATATTTTGTGAAAGTAAGTTTATTCTTATGAGACACATGCGTAGTTTACAATTCTTCAAAAACAAAATAGAATAATCATGAAAAGAAATATTATTTAATGTTGTTACACACACACACACACAGGTGTTCGATTTTATTCGATTAAATCAATAACGCGCGCCCAAATTAAATGTTTTTATCGTTATATTTAAATATAGTACGTAGTAAAGAAAAAATAACGAAAAAAATAATAATAATCGGATAGAGAAATAATTGGATCGAACGAACGCGCGAATGACAATGGGCTTTTCCAAATAAATCTCGTCGGATTAAATTTCAGCCGTGATAGCACATTTAAACCGTTAACGAGTAAATATTTTCAATTGCTCAATTAATTAATATAATCGATATGAAAATTTATTGGCGAATCAATCGGGGGTCGCTGCGGTCTATCGCCAGTTTAAATGCCCCTTTTGTTTGTTATAGATTGACTTAATTGATGATATCCACCTTTTAAACTTTAATCGAATTTAAATGTTATTATTCGTTAAATTACAACTTACCGCGATAATTATTAGAAGAGTGTCGCAACTGGCTAAACCAATAAGAAGATAATTAATAGAAGATTTCATTTGCGGTCTGGAAAGTACCACCATCGATATGGTGTTTCCTAATATACCACAAAGACCTACGAAATTAATTAATACCCCGCATACAATAAAATCGAACAAACCGGTTGAATTTATTTTTTGATAACATTCAGTAGGAATGTTAGAACCGTTAATCTCGTTTTGAAAATACGTCGAACGAGTACTATAATAACCCGTTGTTGTCGTATTTTCCATCATTTTATCATCGATTTTCTTTTACTTTTCTACTCCGTATTTTCTATTTATTTTCTACTTCTTAATCTATCTCTTTTTTTTCTCCTTATATTCACTTTCTTCTTCAGCTTCCTTTTCTTCTCTTTCTTTGACTGCTTTTTCTTTTAACGATTTTTTTAGACGAATCCATATTATTACTTCACCATTCTGATCATCTCCGGTATTTCATAATATCATTCTCTTACTTTCTGACCACAAATTTGTATATTGAATTTATTTATCGACGTTTCAAAATGAAAGTTTAATTAGTAAGCCATGTTTATCGATTATTCCAATCGAAAGATATGTCTTCGGTTTGATATTTTTGTCAATAAAATAATCGATATAGTTGTCGTCTTGATATCAATTCCTTGTGTGTTCTCTGAAACAGATTATTGAATTTTATTTAATAAATAATAGAATTGTATAAAATCCTATAGCAATAGAAATGATCACGAAAATATACTGAATTGTATGATCGTAAAATGTATCGGTTTTGTTCGTGTAATTAAAATTAAGTAAAATAATAATTGAAAAATTATATATAAAACGATATCTTGAGATAGATATTTAATTAGAAGAAAAAGAAACAGAAAATTGTATTTTATTTAAATTTTCAAATGACAAGTAAAACATGATAGAATTAAATAGAAAATGAAAGTGTATCAAACTGTATTTAATAATACATCTTAAATAAATAAAACTACTATCATGATCACCGATCACTGGGTATATATGCGATATTTGAATAATTTAACGATTATATATCGAGTCATTTGATTTTACTAGTCCTTAGAGTACAAGTCAACTCAAAGTTGAAGTAAATAAACGATAATCAAGGATGTCTACTAGTAATACGTAATCAAAGTTAGTTGGAATCTAACGATCATGGACTTTGCATGTTCCTTTGGGTACTCCAACGAAATATTTTAGTCATTTAATACAATTTCGTAATAATTATTCATTCGTATAAATTTATATATGTATCGTTTGATATATTTTATTAGAATAATATATTTTTTTTTCCTACCAACAAAATGAAAGAGAGAGAGAGAGAGAGAGAGAGACAAAGAAAAAAAAAAATGTGTATAAATGTGTCGGTAATTTTTAAAGTGGTGGAATACAACGATAAATCCCTTCTTCCTTTCAAAAAGAAAAAAATATAATAACTTTTATTTGATAATTATATTGTTATGGTTATATTATAATAGATTTTTTCTCTCGAAACACAACGAAATAATTCTCTGAATTCAGCTATTAAGAAAAGTTGATGAAGACAATTAAATTGTAGTAGAAACATTTTTCTGTCAATTTTAAACTTTACAAATTTCAGATTGTATTCTCGGTTTAAAAAAATTTGTGTTATTTTTCTTTCGTTTCAAACACACACCTTTTGTAATTCGTATTATTCTGAATTCAACTTTAATCTAATTTTTTATCTTCCAGGAATATATGAAAGAAAAAAAAACCAAGCAAACTCACCGCGCATACAAGGTAACACACACATATATACGTACACACAAACACATACGTACGCACATATAAGGTAAAAAAAAAGAAGCAAATTGTATATTTTTATGTTTGTTAATTATTGCAGGAACATGGAAGAAAATCTAAAAAAAAAAAAAATTATAATAATAACATAGAATTATGTAGATATTATTTTGCTACACTGATTTATTATACATTAGCTCGTCGAGATAGTTGAACGATAATAAATTTGTATACTCGCGTGTTTTAACGAAGATTTGTTATAATAATAATAATAATTATGCACACTCTCGCGAGTGAATAATTCGATGTAAAAATTCAACGATAACAAATCAAATCTATCAACGAATCAAAAATAAAGAGAAAGCTTTAGAAATTATTTCGATTAATTATTATTATTAATATTATTCGGGCGAACTATATTTATAACGTTTTATTCAAATGACTTCGCGTGTTTGCTTTGGAAAAATTCTAATTTTTTGTTATCGTTCTCTTTTTTTTACTTTCCCTCATTTATTTATTTATTTATTATTATGCGAGATGAATTTTTTGATTGAAAAATGTTTCTTTAAAATTAAGTTAATTTATTTGCTAGCGTAGGAAATGGACAGGATTAATTAATCTTTCTAGTTAAAGGTATTACTTGATGTAAAAAGGGTTTCTTTCTTTTTTTTTTCTTTTTTTTTTAAACAATAAGTTTGTAAGAACTCTTGGTAGAAATTTTCCACATCAACGAACTGTTAAGTACAGATTTTATAGTTACAGGGTGGGTGGTGCTTTAGAAAGCACGTCTATCGATTACGGTTTAATATTAAAATCAATAGTTCCGCTATTATCTCTTCGAACGAAGAATTACTTATTACGAGCTTTTGATATAGATCACTAAATCTTATTTTTCATTCGTATTAATTTTAATCGCGATGTTCTTTTTTTCTCTATAATATTTTAATCTTCAATAATCTAACCGCACTACTGCACACACACATATTGCGTTTTATTATAATTTCATAAGAATACAAAAATCTTATTACGTTATTTTAGGAAATTGTTTTTATATGAAATAACAAAAATCCCATTTCACAATTATTACCTCTCTTAAGTAACATTTATTATTTAATCATAAAAAGAACAAGAGAGATGAGCGAAGTATCAGATTTCGGTATCGACGTTTAATATTTTACACTTGTTAGAAATTGACTTGACGTATTGAAGAGAAATGTTACGTTTTTTTCCTTTTTGAAAGGTACAACCTGTCGAAGTGGAACTTGTCAAAGATCGTACCTCATTATTCTTTATTTTTTTTTCTCTCTCTCTTTTTATTTTTTCTTTTTTTTCCTTCAAAACTAGAGCTTAATATTTATTTCATCTGTCGATACTCGATGATGTTCAGCAAATGTTCGTCGTTCTGTTATTTTTATTTTCTTTTTTTTTTTTTTTACGGTGTCCATATTTTATGTCATTTTTTCCCCAAGCTCTTTGGACATTTTTCGGTATCGAGAAATTTTTTCTACAAAAAAAAAAAAAAAAAAAGGAAAAGAAAGAAAAGAAAAAACTAGT